AAAAGGAAGGGTCTCAAACTAAATCCCATATCCGTGATGTACTACGTTAGCCCCTGCAGGCATGTAATTTATCCTTTGAAATATTGGAACCTGTGCTAATAATCTATTTCAAGCTTATAGTCAGTCAAATAACTAAAATCTTGGTTCATTGCGCAGTGCTATTTGCCTATTAATTCCATGGATCTTTCTGGAGAAGTCGAAGATGGATGCACAGGGGACATGGAACTTCAAACCTCTTGTTCTGACTCTTAATTCTCTTTGTACTTTTGCCCTCAATCTTTCGGTCTTCCTTGTCATCTCGCATACAAGTGCTTTGACTATTCGTGTGGCAGGAGTTGTCAAGGATTGGGTTGTAGTTCTACTATCAGCCATTCTTTTTGCGGATACAAAGCTGACACTTATCAATCTGTTTGGTTATGCAATTGGTAAGTATCATTTTTCCCTGCAAAGTGTACTCTCATAACATCCTAAGCTAGCAAATAATGTAGCATTGTGATGTATCCCTTAATTGTACCACAATAAAGCTGGTCTTTTCCTTGCAGTCCTCAGAGGCTTCCATTTCTCCACTCTTTTTTATACTGTCTTGCAATTTCAGTTCATGTCTTCAGTCAAGTTTTAGTGAAGAAGCTAGTTTCAACCAAAAAAAAAAAAAAAGAAGTGATTTGCTGATGTTGATAAGAAATTTAAGGGAAAATATAGCCACATATCAAAACAACTTGATGTTACTTTTGGATGGTATATTATGGTGTGCTGTATAGGCTTGAGAACTTACTGATTTGTTTATTTTATCTAGATTAGCTTAATTTGCCAATCCTTTTGGAGCTTTGATTGGTTGTGTACTTGACAAATGGGCAAAAGAATTTATATTAACGTCTCGAAAGAGATTAGTACACATAAATGCACTGACTATAACTCTGGCTTCCTATGCAGCCATTGTAGGGGTAGCTGCATACAATAACCACAAGTTAAAAAAGGAAGCTTCTCGAGTTGTTAGTACAGACGAGCCTGCTCAATCAATCCCACTAGTTTCATCTCCAACTTCAAACAAGTAAAGCTGTATAAATCAGTGGTCAACTTCAGTGAGGACTGGGTAAAGCTTGAATCCAATTCATAAAATGTGGAACGCCACAATTTTGAATCAAAATTTACTCCATCAAATTTCTTGCAATTCGGCAAAATCTGGGACCATATGAACCCTGGAATTTCTCAAATGAGTAGGTACGAGGAGTCAGATAATGAAAATGGGCTGGAAAAAGCTTGAACCCAGTTATGATTCTTTTAATGAGAGGAGCTGCTCAATTTCTATTAGCCTATGCAAGCAACTTGAGACTACAATCTCGTTCTTACCCTCCTCTGCCACTTGCTTACTCTTTGCCAATGTTACTTTCTCCTTAAATATGGTAGCTACAGTTTCATGATCTGGAAATGTAAAATATTACTTGTAATAGCAGTCAAGTTTCAATTTGCTTTAAAATACAAGTAGCTTTAATCCTAACTGTTTGTGTGCAAGGCATCTCCTAGCTGTTGCAGAAAGTTTAGTATGGATCAGAGAAATTGTGAATCTTAATGACAAAAGGAAGAAGGGATAGAAAGTTGGGCGAGACGCTATTTTGAGAAGTTATTTTAAGGACAGTGCTACAATGCATTAAAATATTCTTAAATTTGAATCCATTTTCAACCTTGATTTGGTCATTAATTGGGAAATAAATGAAGTAGATGAAATAAAGTTTTAGAAATTCTTGCAGTATGATAAACTTTTGAATGTGTCATTGGGGAGGAATCCTCGTATGATGATATATGGTAGCATTGTATTGTATTGTTACAAAGAAAATGTGAAGATCTAATAGCTATTTTAAATTTCACCCATATTGTAGTTTATAAGGTACTATTAAATTTCTCTAGATAGACGGTTCTCTAAGAAACTTGATCGTGTTAATTAATTTTTTGGATATTTTCATTAATTATTAAATAGTAGAAATATTAAATTATGCATATAGAACGTAATCGATTTCATGAAGTTTTAAAGTAATGCTATTTCTCCTTACTGGAATTAAACATCAGTTTAGATGACAATTACATGATATTAAATGTTAGATTCATTTAAATGCAAAGTGATGTGACTCATTTAATTGAACTTATAAAGTGTTGTCATTGGTGCTTAATCACAGTGAGAAAGAATAACATTATTCAAAGTTTTATTAAATGTCAGAGACTATCAATTATAAGGTATTAGTTTAGAGATCGGACTATAAAGAATTGAGCTTCACCTACCCTCAACAGCCAAACAAACTAACCTGCTGGTTTTGTAACAGTATAAACGTTAACAAGAAGTTGCCGAACAATTTCTAGGTCAGCATAAAGAATTAGAAATGGAAAAAATAGAGGTAAAAGTGATTTGTTTCGTCGTCGTAGTCGTCGTCTTTTTTTTTCTTTTTCTTTCTCAATAAAAAATTCAACTAATTAGGAGAAAATAATACTTCAAATTCAATTTAATGAGTTTATCCAACTAATTGATCAAACTTCATTAGAAATCATTTGGCCATTAGAAAGCAAAAACCTTACAAGATATATACAAGAATTATGGTTGTTTTAGAATTATACAAGGCTGCCCAACCCAAATAAACATCAAAAGTCACAAAAGTAGGCAGAACCCAACAAAGATAATTCCAATTCATCCATCCACTAAACAACTCACCTACTAACTGTCTACATGCAAATCATGACAATTCAGACCATTTTGCAGAAGCAAAGAAAAAGAAAACCAATTAATGTTGTACAATTCCTTTTGTCAAATTTCATCCCATATTTTAAGGCTCAGAAACCGTGGAAGAGATTGTAATCCTAGTATTTTCTTGTCCAATCTTAATCTCTGTCACTATTCATGAACATAAACGGTATAAAGCAACAGATCATTCCATCAAAAATTCAACCAATAACAGAAGAAAATGATGAACCAGAAGAAGAAAATGAGTAGTGCAGTTTCAGAATTCGCACACACACACTCACATGCACATTCACTGTAAAGTAATGGTTGACTCTTTAATTCTCGCTGCTTTGGATTGTGACTTTCACGGTTCTTCTCCAGCTTCTTGCCTCGTCAATCAGTCACACCCCCCCNTGTGAATTTCTAATAATTATGTTAGCTACTGCAGAAATTTCTGGATGATTGTCCTGTATATGTAAGTAACTTTACATTGTTGGGACAGTTCATGTTGTTTCAAGTTGTCTCAGCCATACCTTAAAGTTTCCTCTTCCAATACACAGCAGAATCATGGCCATACTCTATTGAATTTCGTTCTTGTTCGACTCCTAGTTGCTTGGGAATATAAATATATTGAGAACAAGGCTTAGTTGTTGCTATTAGAGTCTTACTAGATTTGCTTCCTCATAAATGGAAAGCCAAAAGTATTTGATTTTTGTATTACATTTTTTTTGTCTAATCGTCTTTGTTCAATCATTAAATGATGAGGGGAATATTCTCTTGGAGTTCAAGAATTCCCTTGAAGACCCTTATCATAATCTTCAAAGCTGGAGTTCTTTGGATTCAAATCCTTGCAATTGGACGGGTATAGGGTGTTTAGCTGATTTTAAGGTAACTTCTATTCGTCTTAATGGCCTCAATTTGTCTGGTTCTTTATCTTCAATCATTTGTAAACTCCCTTACTTAGTGGTGATGAATGTGTCGGAAAACTTTATCTCTGGTCCAATCCCTGATGATTTCAATTGTTTTCGTAATCTCGAAACTTTAGACCTTTGCACAAATAGATTCCATGGAGAGTTTCCTACCCAGATCTGCAATGTTACTTCCCTCAGAGAGCTTCATCTGTGTGAGAACTATATTTTTGGAGAAATCCCTGAAGAAATTGGCAGATTAACTTTACTTGAGGAGCTTGCCATTTATAGTAACAATCTAACCGGAATAATTCCTTCGTCCATTGGGAAATTGAAAACTCTTAGGATTATCAGGGCAGGTCGAAATTATTTATCCGGTCCACTTCCTGCTGAAATCACTGAGTGCGATAATTTGGAAGTTCTAGGTTTGGCAGAAAATAGGCTAGAAGGTCCTTTTCCTGTTGAGCTACAAAAACTTAAGAGGCTCACCAGCTTAATTCTTTGGAAGAATCTGTTTTCGGGGGAAATTCCTCCTCAAATTGGTAATTTCACTAGCTTGGAATTACTTGCAGTGCATGCAAATTCGTTCTCAGGAACCATTCCCAAGGAAATTGGGAAGTTGTCTCGGCTGAAAAGATTGTACATGTACACGAATCAATTGAATGGAACGATTCCACCAGAAATCGGGAATTGTTCAAATGCAGTCGAGATTGATCTTTCTGAAAATAGATTGACAGGAGTTATTCCAGAAGACTTGGGCCAAATTTCTAATCTACGTTTGCTTCATCTTTTTGAGAACCTCCTCCAGGGAAATATCCCCAAGGAGCTTGGAAAGTTGAAGCAACTCAACAATCTAGATTTGTCCATAAATAACTTGACAGGCTCAATTCCTATTGAGTTTCAAAATCTCAGGTTCCTTGAGAACTTTCAACTTTTTGACAATAATCTTGAAGGTACCATTCCTCCGTTTATTGGGGCTAATAGCAACCTCACTGTTCTTGACATGTCCATGAATAATCTTGTGGGCAGGATACCAAAACATATATGCATGTTTCAGAAATTGATTTTTCTTAGCCTGGGATCAAACAAGTTGTCCGGGAACATTCCTCGTGGCTTAAAAACTTGCAAATCTCTCGAGCATCTAATGCTGGGAGACAATTTCTTTACGGGAAGTCTTTCTATTGAATTCACAAAACTTCAGAACCTTTCAGCACTCGAGCTCTATCAAAACCGATTCTCAGGATTGATACCTTCAGAAGTGGGAAATTTTACTACATTGGAGAGGCTGCTCTTGTCGAATAACCAATTCATTGGTCAAATTCCTCCAGAGATTGGTAAACTTGTAATGCTCGCTGCTTTCAACGTGTCGTCCAACAGGCTATTTGGAAGCATTCCTCAAGAGTTGGGAAACTGTATAAAGCTCCAGAGGCTTGATCTTAGCAGGAACTGGTTTAGTGGCTCCATTCCAGGAAAGCTTGGCATGCTAGTGAATCTGGAACTGCTGAAACTATCTGATAACACGTTGACGGGACAAATACCAGGAACTTTAGGGGGTCTAGCTCGATTGACAGAATTGCAAATGGGTGGAAATTTCTTTTCGGGAAACATTCCGGTCGAGCTAGGTCGATTAACTTCACTTCAGATTGCTCTGAATATCAGTCATAACAATCTCAGTGGATCAATCCCGAGCAATTTAGGTAACCTTCAGATGCTAATATCTCTTTACTTGAATGACAACCAGCTTGGTGGCGAAATTCCTAGTTCAATAGGAGCACTAATGAGCCTAAATGTATGCAATCTTTCTAATAATAATCTTGTCGGAACAGTGCCAAACACCCCGGTTTTCCAGAGAATGGACTCCAGCAATTTTGCTGGAAACAATGGATTATGCATATTAGGTTCAAATCATTGCCATTCATTTCCAGCCCCTACATCTGCTCCAAATCCTAGCTGGTTGAAGGAAGGTTCTTCCAAAGAAAAAATAGTCAGCATTGTTTCACTTACTATCGGCCTTATCTCTTTGACTTTTATTGTGAGTGTTTGTTGGGCTATCAGGCGCCGTAAACCTTCTTTTGTTTCACTTGAAGATCAACCGAAACCTGATGTATTGGATGGCTATTATTTTCCAAAGGAAGATTTCACATATATGGACCTTGTTGAAGCCACGGGGAATTTTTCAGACAGTGCTGTCGTAGGAAAGGGAGCCTGTGGAACTGTCTACAAGGCTGTAATGACCAATGGTGAAGTGATTGCAGTTAAAAAGTTGAAAGCCAGAGGAGAAGGAGCCAGCTCAGACAACAGTTTTTGTGCTGAAATTTCGACTTTGGGAAAGATTAGGCACAAAAATATTGTGAAACTCTATGGCTTTTGCTACCATCAGGACAGCAATCTTATCTTATACGAGTACATGGCGAATGGAAGTCTTGGAGAACTACTTCATGGGAAGGAGAAAGATTGTATTCTCGATTGGAATGCCCGATACCAAATTGCTCTTGGTGCTGCAGAGGGGTTATGCTATCTTCACAATGACTGTAAGCCTCAAATCATTCATCGCGACATAAAATCAAACAACATTTTGCTAGATGAATATTTTGAGGCACATGTTGGAGATTTTGGCTTGGCAAAGTTGATCGACTTCTCCTTCTCAAAATCGATGTCTGCTGTTGCTGGTTCATATGGCTACATTGCCCCAGGTATGACCATGATTTACAAGATTCTGACAACAGCTTTCTTACACATTTTGACAACTATCTGAAAATTTAATATGATCAATTGATGTACGTTTTTTTTTTCGTTTCAGAATATGCTTACACGATGAAAGTGACAGATAAATGTGATATATATAGTTTCGGAGTAGTTTTGTTGGAACTGATTACTGGAAGGTCCCCTGTCCAACCTCTTGATCATGGAGGTGACCTAGTAACCTGGACAAGAAGATCGATTTCTAAATTAGTAACAACATCTGACATATATGATCAACGGATTGATCTTAGCGAGAAAAGGACGATGAGAGAAATGTCTTTAGTACTTAAAATTGCAATGTTCTGTACCAGCGCCTCCCCTCTCAACAGGCCTACCATGCGCGAAGTCATTGCAATGCTGATTGACGCCAGGGAGTCGGCGAGTGATTCATTATCATCTCCAACGTCAGAAACTCCCTTAGAAAAAGATGATTTCTGTTAAGGTACTACAATCTGATCTCAATTCTTTTAAATGTCTCATATGAAGTGAACCTGCCATGATAGTTCAATACACGAGGTTGATACGATAGTACAACGGATTATACATTTTACTTCTTTAATACTATCTAGTGTTATCCACGTTATCTTATCAAGCACGATATATGTGTAATTCATCATTCTTGGGGTGATTGATCTTTAATTTCCAGGTTGTATGGAGTTTTAGGCTGTCATTTGAAGAGAAGGGCTTTCAACAGATTATTTTTCTTCCTAGTTGAATGCACCAAGAAACTGTCATCTCCTGAGAGCCTGCTCTGCTTGATCTGAAGCTGGAAGCCAGAGCAAAAGCATCTTACTTTTACTCTCTCTGGGGTTATCATAATTATCCCCATTCTTTCAGAAATAAATTTTTTTCCCCTATTTTTGTTTTCCAATTACGTGTTTAGCCTAGTTTAAGTTTATAGACGAAATAGTTTGAGCAATAGAGTTTCTACATATTAGATGGAATGGAGCAATTTGAGCATGTTTGGCTAGGCTTAAAAACCAATTAGAAGGGCTTCTTTTGGAAGCAACCCTAACATGGGGAAATTGGCGAAATAAAATTAATCAATGTTTTGAAAACTGGATCGAATTAGCTGTTTGATCGAAAAAAATCGGTCCAACCAGATGTAAAAAATCGTTTAAAAAAGCTAACTTGAGAACGGTCAATTCATACTAAGAATTGGCAATTCACTTGATATTTTAAGTAAACGGTGAGAACTAATTATATCGAAAAACTCATCGATTCAAAACTTGAATACGGGTATTACTTCATATAATTAGACAACTTTAAGTTATTTATTTAATCCACAAACAACCAATTAAGAAACATATATCCCATGTTTGGACCGCATTATTTTTTCATTCTCATTTTTCTACTCATTTTCAACCACACATTCATTAATAAAATAATATTTTTCATCACATCAATAATTTTTTTTTCTTTTTCAACCACACATTTTCTATCAATCTTCTATTCTAAAATATATTCTTTCAAAATAATGTGGCTCAAACACACCAATAATCTTTAAAGAATATATGAAACCCTGATCTACCAAATATTTATTGCCCTCTAATTAAAATATTAATTTTGAAGTGGCTAAAAAGTAATAAAATAAACAATATAGTAATTAATTAAACCCAAGCCTGCCCTTCTGTTTGTTCATGCGAGTTTGGACTAGATGATTGTTTTTAGAGTAACGCTATTTAGTTTCATTGGGGTTACAACCCCAATTTATGTGACGTTAATGTGTCATTAAAGGAAAATAAATTATTTAATTTCACCTATTATTTAAAGCTCCCTAGACTGGGGTTGTAATCTCAGTAAAACTACATAGTATTACTCTTGTTTTTATTATTATTTAAACAGACGATAAGATTACTAATTAATATTTTGAAGAGTCTTGAAGATGAAAAAATTATTTCATAAGAAAAATTAAGGAAATTTGCTCGTTCACTGAACATAATAAGGCCCCGTTCGGCAGGGATTAAAAGCCAATTAAAATTGAAAATATGGCCGTTATTGGGTCCCACTCGTCTAATAAAAGTCAACAATAACGGCTATATTTTCAATTTTAATCACTCCCATACAACCTCTAAATTTAATGTAAATAGATCAACTTGGAAGATTTATCTGTAGTGGATTTAGGGTTTCGAAATCCATAATGTGCTGCATTTTGTCTTACGTAAGCTTTTGAAATCCTGATGTAATGCCTACATCATTGGGGAACAAAATGAAATTTCTATCCCTAACCTAACTAAATGTATAAAAGACTAAAAAGAGGGAGTTACGTGTACTGCTCACAAGCCGAGCAGAGCCAAATGGCTTTACGGCTCGGCTCGGCTCGGTTAGGCTAATTTTTTTTTTTTTAAATTTTATTTACGTCTAATTCAATATTTTAAGTTATAGATATTCGTTTTAAGCGATTTAAAATTTGTTCAAACTGTTGAAGTGCGGTCATGATAAATATATGATCGATAAATTTTAAATATCAAAAATTGAAGTGCGGCCATAATAAATATCAAAATAATTTTACATTATTTTTTTTTTTGCAATCTCAATCTCATTCTAATGTCCTTTTTTCGAACTTTATTTTCTTACAATTTTTTATTTGATTCGATATTTCACGATATGAATATCCATTTGGATCAATTTCAATTTTTTTTTATAAATTTAAAATGTAATAATAATAAATATATTGTCGATAAAGTTAAAATATAAAAATGGTTTTATAACTCGGCTCGACTTGGCTCGGCTAAGCCCTTTTTTTTTAAAACGTTTGATTAGTTTTTTTCTTCTTTGGGATTATTAGTTATTTTAACCTTTTTTTTTATTAAGTTAAAATATAAAAATGGTTTTATGGCTCAACTAGGCTAACCTTTTTTTTTTTTTTTT